TTTGGGAACAAGGCCCAATGCTGGGGCCCCTTAAAATCAACGCGCCTGGAAATCAGTGGCCAAGGCCAGGTTTCCCAAAGCACTAGGGATTTGGGGGGGCCGATAGGGGACCCTCAAAGGAGCCTGCTCCCCAGAGGGCGGGCGCTAAGGACCGTCTCTGCGAATCAGGCTCTTTTAAGGGGTTTCAGGGCAGGCCCTCAAAACTTGTGGCCCCCAAATCGCTTTAGAAACTCCTAGCCCTGGGCCTCTCCGCGCTTGGACATTTCTGGGCTGCTCTGAGGCCGGGGTGAGGCAGGGGGTGGGTACCTGAGGCTGTCGGAGAACGCCTCCACGCCGTACTTAGAAGGGCAGTAGCCCCCTCCGTAGAAGGCCAGCCGGCCCAGGATACTGGCCACGTTGACGACTCGGCCCCTGGCTCGTTTCACCAGGGGCAGGAAGCTGAGGGTCACCTCGATCAGGCCGACCAGGTTCACGTCCAGCACCTTGACGAAGTCGTCCTTGGTCAGCCACTCATTGGGGGCCACGGGGAAGACGAGCCCCGCGTTGTTCACCAGGCCCCAGAGCCCTGGGAAAGGGAGAACGAATGAGCATGGCGGGAGGCTGTTCCCCTTCGATCTGAAATCCCCTAACGGCACCAACCTGGCAATTAAACCAACCCCCGTCCTGGCCCCAATCCCCCACGTGTGCCTGGGGGAGCTGCTAAAAGGCCATTTCTCTGTGCGTGGGCAGGGACCGTCCGCGTCGTGCTGAGGTTATCCAGCATTATCCGGCATCACCGTGCCTTGAACGCAGCTGCCACCAGCTCTTTGTCCTGGGCGGAGAAGCACTGGTGCATTGAAACTGGAGTGTGGGGGGGGGAGGGGGCGGACACCCAGCCCCCCCACTCTAAGCCACTAGATCCCACACCCCTCCCAGATATGGGAATAGAACCCAGGAGTCCTGGCTGCCAGCTCTCGCTGCTCTAACCACTAGACCCCACTTCCCCCCAGGATGGGAATAGAACCCAGGAGTCCTGGCTCCCGATCCTTCACTCCTTTCCTGCCTGTCGCATTAGCACAGCCCCAGCCTGTGTGAGCTCAGAGCTGCCCCTGGAAAGGGGCAGGTGGAGGATTCAGGGGCCCCACCTTTGTCCCCCACTTGTTCCTTCACCCAGGCAGTGGCCGCGGCGATGCTGTCGGTCCGGGTGACATCCAGGATCACCGTTTGCAGCCGCTCCGACGTCGCCTTCCTCAGCTGCTCCGCGCCCTGCTGGGTGAGACAAGCCGCCAGCACCCGCAGGCCCCGCAAGTCCAGCTGCTTGGCCAGCAGGTTCCCGAAGCCGGAGTCGCAGCCGGTGATCAGGACGTATTTCTCTCGGAGGTTCTCCACAGTCTGCCGCTCCCGGTACCATCGGCGGAGGAAGTACAGCCCCAGCAGGGCGGCCAGGTACAGCCACATCCTCCCACACTGCAAACCAACCAACCAAGCAGATGGGGCAAGACTTGCACTGAAATGCAGCCAGCTCTGGGGTGGGTCGGAGCAGCTGCTTAACAGCAAAGAGCAACCAAGGAGTGCTTAGAAGCCCGCCTGCAGCAACCACAGGACTCATCTAATACAAGTGGGACTTTACAAGAAACAGTGCCTGGGATTTTAGAATTCAACTCCTTATGGACGTAAAACATGTCTGTAAGCAGAAAAGACGGGGTTGGAGGGTGACAGAGCTTCCAGAGCTCTCAGCTCCCCGCAATGTGTTCAGAACACGGGCCGTATTTTCACTTGCGCTTCGCACCCAGCAACTCCCCCTGGGCCGCTGGAGTCCAGTTTCCCAAAGAGCCCTGCTGCCGACGTGCTGAACCCTGCTAAATTCACCCCCTAGGATCCGGCTCGCTCCTGCTTCGTGTCACCATTGACACCAGCGTCCGACGGTACGAGATCCCACCTGGGGCTGGTGTACAGCCGCTGGGCACGGAGGTGAACGCCAGGGGAGAACCCACCCCTTTGATTCACCAGTTGTGCCAGCCTGCGGACAACGGTTCACGTTACGGCTGAAATCTGCCCGAGCCAGCAGCCCTGAGCCAGCCCCTGCCCCCTACCCTTCCCTGTATCCATCACTAAGGAGGACACCGGCCGCTTTGCTCCTGTCAAGCCTACAACCAGCTACCTGTGAACAAGGTCTCCGCTTGCCCTGGGTGCCAGCTCCCGCCTGGTCCCCCTGCTCTGCAGCCTTGGACACAGCGAAGGTGAGGAACATACCACGCCCCGTGGAGCGGAGCAGGGCAGAGGTCCCGGGTAGGCGGCTGAGCGCTGGATGGAGGCGGGGCATGGAAAGGCCAGGGGGCAAGGTTCTGCCTGTGGTTAAACAAAAGGGCCTTGTCAGTTTGATCTGGCCCCAAAAGGGATTCAGAAAAACCAGCCCGTGAAATCTCAGCGGTGCTGAGTTCCTGGGTGCTCAGACTGGGGGTATCGAAGCCGGGGAAGTATGGATGGGCTGGGAGACTGGCTGGAATGGGTGTCTAGAGACAGACCGAAGGGAACACCTGGGATTGTGGTGCTTCCCTGAGATTAGGGTCCCAGTGTGCCGAGCGCTGGACGGACCCCCCCTCCCAACCGAGATGGGGGCCCCATTGTGTCTGGCACTGCGCAGCCCTCCCCAGACATGATGGAACGCACCCCTGTATTCACACCCGGCATGCCATTGTAACCGTCTTCGTACAAGGGACGCCTCGGGAGGTATTGTTTGGAAACTCATCCTTTGCTGGTCACTAGCGTCCTGGCCACATAGGCTTGGCAGCACTGGATGTGAAGCGAGACGCTTTCCCCACACGATGTTATTTACACGACGTCCAAACCCCACAGCCGAGCCCAGGCAGAAGTCAGCAAGCGGCTCTGTCCTGCGCAAAAGAACGTGTGTTTGCCTTAATTTCCATTTAGGCAGTACATAGAATCATCAGGTGCAAAGGGGGAAGGAAGGAAACGTGCATGTAACATATGCAGGTGAAAAAACCCAGCAGGGAACATCCTTCCACATAGACGCTTTGTCCCCTGGTTCTCAGCTGGCAATGTTTTTCAATGTCCCATAAACGATAAAACGGAGGGGCAAACGCCTCCAGGGACCCCTCTCTCTTTCCCTCCCTGCCCATCTCCTTCTCTGCAGCTGAGAAGACCAAGGAAACGGCTGTTGGACTCTGGGGGGACGGGGCCTGACTCGAAGAGTTTGGTCAGTATGACCGTGCGCTGGAGGCATGCGGTGAGGAACTCTGCTTGTAGCTAATACCGGTTAAGTTCGGCACTAGGAAGTGTTTTATCTTCATTTCTCCTGTAGCCATTTCTGATTTGTTATGCCTCGGAGCCCGTACTCACTTCAAGCCTCTCGCTTTGTAACCAACTTGTTTTACGGTTTGACCTAACCCAGTGTGTTTGCGTTGAGGTGTCTGGGTAACTCTTTCAGGGGACGAGCTGCTGTATAGGATTCCCTTGAAGGAATAACAGACTGACCGCATTCACACTGTCCAGGAGAGGGCCGGGCAGCGCAGGACGTACATTTCTGGGGCGGGGTGGGGAGGGGGAAATCCGGGACTGGGAGTGTGTTGAGATCACCCTGCAGTGTAACCCAGGCTGGGGAGAGCCAGGGTGTGCCTGACAGGCTGTGGTTACACACACACACCTGGGAGTGAGCTGCAGGCTGGTTGTGAACAGTCCAGGTTGGAGCAAGGCCTTGCACGGCACCCCAGGTTGCAGGACGGGGGGGGACACAGCCCCACACTGGTCTGGATTGCATGCCTGGTGCTGCACAGACCTTCTCGCCCCCCTGCTTCCCTGAACTGCAATCAGGGTCCCATCTTGCCAGGCCTTGCATGGACCTTCCTCACTGAGATCGGGGCCCTATTGTGCCAGGCGCTGCACAGGGCCCCATCGTAGCGGGTGCTGGCCAGACACACAGTGAGAAGCCCCTGCCCCCACGAGCTCCCAGTCTAAGCCGATGAGATGAACGGTGAAGCATCCGTTCCAAGGCAGGGGCCGGGAAGCCGAGGGAAGCCACCCCAGTCTTTTGTCCCACGCACGGCCAGATGGATGAGACCAGGACAGCCCTTAATTCCCCAGCTCTGCTCGGGGCCAGTCCCAGCTGCGCCAGAGGCAGGCCCAAGAGGCCCTGTGGGGGGCAGCTGGGATCAGGGTCCCCCAGAGACTGTTTCCTCCTGACCCCTGATAGTTAGAAGCCGGCTCATGCCCTGAAGCAGGAGGGTTTGTAGTCCGGCCATAGCATATTGTCCTTGTCACGCAGACCCTAAAGCTCTCCCTTGCTCCTATTGGACGTTTTGGAGATGGGGGTCGGGGGGGAGGGCGAAATCTGCAGCGGCCACGTGAATTTCAGGATCAGCGTTGGACTGTGGTGCCGCTCTGCCCCCGGCTACCAGCCCTCGGTGGAATCGCAGCACCTTCCCTGTCGATGGAGAAATGAATAATTAACTGCGCCAAGGTCCAGCAAATATCAACTTTCCCCCAGCGGTTCACCAGCCAGGGGAGTGCGTTCGTTTCTGCCAGCCTGCTAGCGAGGGAGGCTGGGCTGAAGGGAGGCTGGCGAAGCAGCCCCTGGGAAAGCAGGGACAGGAGCGACTGGGCCCCAGCCTTCAATCAATGATTGATTTCTGGACTCCCCCCGCCCCACCCCACCCCGCCCCATCCTGTCCCCTGCCAAGGCTTCATGGCCACAGACTGCAAGGTGAAAACAGCATCGCTCTGTGCTTAGCGAATGCCGAGCCGAAGCACCGATAGGTGGGGGGCAGAGAAGCAATATGGTAATAGAGGAGCGCAGGCCCTGACTCCGTGAGATGGCGGAGGATCTCCATGACTCGCGATCAGTACAGGGCCTCTGACACACGGCTGTTCCCGTTCCCCCCCCCCCCCGAACGATGCATGTGCTGCACGGCAGTGGCCGGGGTGGAGGGCTGTGTATGTGGGGAGGGGGTGGCCCTTCCAGGGTGCGAGCGGCCTGGCATCGCAGTCGGGGGGGGGCTGCAGTCTGATGCGGGACTTGGCATTGCAAGCGTGCGGGGCGCTCGCCTGGCCATGCAGGGTGCTCTGTGCACGGCCCCCAGGGGCTTTGCAAGGCACCGTAGGCAGGGGGCTGGGTTGCCCCTCCGGGGGCCCGTGCTGGGACTGGGGTGAGGGCGCTGGCGTGGCAGGGGGCGCTCTGGGGTCCCTGGGGGGTGCCCCTGTAGTCAGGGGCTCTGAGGTGGGTTGCAAGGCGCTGCGGCCCCCGGGCTGAGCTGCATCGGGAGTCCGGGGCTTTGCAATGCGGGGGGCGGGAGGGGCTTTGCAATGCGGGGGGGGGGCTTTGCAATGCGGGGGGGGGGGCTGACGCGGAGACAGGCCCCGCCCGGACTACAGCTCCCAGCCGCCCCGGCCCGGCCCACCCTGCGCACGTGCGGCGCGGCCGAGCCGGTTCCCGCGCGCGCCCCGCGGGCCATGGCCGGGTTCGAGCCGGGCTCCCTGCCCGACCTGCTCCCGCTCTACTACCGCCGCCTCTTCCCCTACGGGCCCTACGGGCGCTGGCTCAGCTACGGCGGGGGTGAGCGGCAGCGCGGGCCGCCTGCACCGGGGAGGGGCCGCCGGGGGAGAGATGGGGGGGTGCATGGGATGTGTG